CCTGTTGAATAGAGTATCCTCTGTCCTTTATCAAGGCTACAGAAGTGATTCTAAAGAAATGTCTTTAGGTACACCGCAGGGAGGAGTTCTTAGTCCCATGCTACTTAATATTCTGATTAATGCTCTCCTAAATGCTCTACCTGCCTCACTAAACATATAGCTATAAGCTATGCTGATGATATCATGATCCATACAACAGGGCATAAGAAGATGAATACCATTCTTAATGAAGTTCAAGCAGGGTGAAATCATTAGCTACGTTAAAACTTACAGATATCTTGGTGTAGATGTACCCTTTAACAAATCCACTATACCACAACTAAACAAGAAATGCAAAGCTAGGCTAAATGCTCTCAAAGCTGTTGCTGGCTACAACCCCAACTATGGTGCTAATGTGAGAATTGTGAGAATGATGTACATAGCCTATGTTAGGTCCTTAATTGATTATGCTGCTCCCATGTTGATATTAGCTAGAGAAAGTTCTCTACGACCCTTGGAGTTAATGCAAAATGAAGCTCTCAGGATTATTCTTGGCTGTCCAAGATCTACAAAAGTTCTTAACATGAGGAAGGAGCTTGGTATTTCTAGTATCAGTGATAGGATTATTTAGATTAACACTGTACTCGGTATTAGAATGTTTAGAAAACGAGCCAGACACTGTCACAATGAATCTTACCAAGTGTCTAGAGGTAAATACACACAGATCTAAATGGATTGTGAAAACGTGCAATTACATTAAGTTTTATAACCTGCATGAACTGGGATCACTGTAGGCAACAAGAGCATTTCACCCTCCGTGGAAGATGTGTTCATTTAATATCACATACCTGCAAGTCCCTCCCCAAAAAGCTCATTGCTAGTAATCCCTTCCTTAAATCTCTTGTTTAGAGCAACTGTCAAGAAGAAATTTCTCACCTAGTGGTAGTAATAAGTTACCACAAGTTATATACATGATGGTCTAAACAGGACTCTTCTGGCAGGGCTGCATCTGCTCTTGTTGCCACCTCCCCTTTTTAAAAACGATAATAAATTTGTTGAGTTTAGGCATAAGAATTAACAACTGGGGTTTTACACTGCAACTGAATTGTTTGCAATCCTAATGGCGCTAAAGCTAACCTATGACACTGAGCTTTACTCTATCATCATTACTGATTCTATGTCATCATTTAAGGCTTTGACTCATATAATGACTCCAACAACAAAGCTCATTGGAAAAAGCCAGGTACAGATATTCAAAAATTGGGACAAAAGGGAATTAATGTACAATTTGCTATGGATCCCATCACACATTGGATTACTCCTTCATGATAAAGTTGATATGTTAGCCAAAAGAGAGTACCCAGAAGGAGAATGTAGAATATAACTTTGGTATAACTGTGTCTAGCATTAGGAATAATATTAGGAGAGAAGTAAATAATGAAAATGATTGTTATAGGAATGCAGTTAGAAGCCTGAGTAGATCTATAACCCACTATGATAACATGAACGTAGATAAGTATGTTTATGGAGCAACTCGCAATGTGAATAGACTGACTGATGTTGTAGTGGCCAGGCTTAGGCTTGGTTACAAGTACTGACTGATGTTGTAGTGGCCAGGCTTAGGCTTGGTTACAAGTACTGACTGATGTTGTAGTGGTCAGGCTTAGGCTTGGTTACAAGTACTGACTGATGTTGTAGTGGCCAGGCTTAGGCTTGGTTGCAAGTACTGACTGATGTTGTAGTGGCCAGGCTTAGGCTTGGTTACAAGTACTTCTGGCAGTTTGGGAGACACATAGATGATGATCAAACTAAATGTAAATTATGTGATCATGCATATGGTCACTGTCTTGAACACTATGTGCTTAATTGTCCACTTATTGAGGAATACAGAGACAGACAGTATAATAACCTATGTGACATGTCAAGATATCTTATTAATGAAAATAAGATACCTGTGGAAAATTTTTGATTTTCCGAAGCTATAGCGCCTAATAGGTGTTTAATGTATCGATATGAGTCAAAAATGTATTTGACAATAGGGTAGAACCAAGAGTTCCCTTTGCGCATGCGCGGATGTGCGGGGGTTTAGGTGGACTCGGGCCATGGGGGTGGCGGGAGTGTTTTTGAATGTGGTGAGGAGGCTGGGAAAGCATGGAACCACGAAATTGGCATTCACGGCGGCCTAAGGATTAATATAGGCCTCATTTCATAATAGGAAGTGTAGTAACTGTTCCTGGTGGAGAGTGAGGGAACGTGATTTACGGGACCACGGTAATAGAGTGGTAAAATGAGTGAATAAGGGTAGGACCGATGGTGACTGGCGCGTCACCATGGACTGTGTCCCGGGGAAAATTACCCTTGGTTTAATCATCACTCATCGGTCTCAGATCTTAATGGAGTGATCTCTAATGTGTATAATAATTATGAGACATTAAATCGTCTTGTGAATTGTAATGTAATTAATGATAATAACGTTAAGTTAAGATAATGCGTGAAGTGAAATAAGTCGCCTTGCTCCGAGTGAACGTGTGACTCGTACCGGGGATAATGAAGATTTATGGAAGCACGACTTCTAAACCGGGACAAACCGACGGGTACCCCGTCCTGCTGGAATAAGAACCGTGTCGGTGTAGCAGGACTTCGAAATGAGATGGTGAATGGAGGAAATAAGGAGTATCAATCACCCACAGTTAAGTAACCCTTCTAGTTATAACAGACTGATGCTGGCCAATTAGGTTATGTTGTAATTGGATAGGTTATGAGTGATCCAGCTACATCAAGTGATCACCAGAGAACATCTGGTAAGTTTACCTGGAGAGAGATTTACCTGGAGAGAGTTTCGGGGGTCAACGCCCCCGTGGCCCGGTCTGTGACCAGGCCTCCTGGTGGATCAGCGCCTGATCAACCAGGCTGTTGCTGCTGGCTGCACGCAAACCAACGTACGAGCCACAGCCCGGCTGATCAGGAACTGACTTTAGGTGCTTGTCCAGTGCCAGCTTGAAGACTGCCAGGGGTCTGTTGGTAATCCCCCTTATGTGTGCTGGGAGGCAGTTGAACAGTCTCGGGCCCCTGACACTTATTGTATGGTCTCTTAACGTGCTAGTGACACCCCTGCTTTTCATTGGGGGGATGGTGCATCGTCTGCCAAGTCTTTTGCTTTCGTAGTGAGTGATTTTCGTGTGCAAGTTCGGTACTAGTCCCTCTAGGATTTTCCAGGTGTATATAATCATGTATCTCTCCCTCCTGCGTTCCAGGGAATACAGGTTTAGAAACCTCAAGCGCTCCCAGTAATTGAGGTGTTTTATCTCCGTTATGCGCGCCGTGAAAGTTCTCTGTGGTGGGATTATGTACAAATGTTTTTCCTTGATGGATGTATCCAGGTGTATCCTACCCCCCCCCCTTCATTCAGCTAAACTAATATAATCTATACAGTCCACAATTAATTAGTAGCACCGTACTTGTGGGTGTTATCCAATCCATACTGGTCTCGGATAGATATGGATAAGATTGTGAGGTCGAAGGAACCACTTGCCGCGACCAGGGTTAGTTAGTTAGTTTAATATGTTTATTATGCACCCCATACCCATCCTGTGGGCGGTAGTCAAAAGATTACAGAGGTACATAATGGGTCCAGGGACTGGGCCTCAAAGTTTTGATAGCTAAGCAAGTTACAGAGGTAATGAATTCACAATTTACAAAGGTAATGAACTCCAGGTAGGTCTAGTCACAATCATGACAAGTTACAAAGGTATTCACAGATTACAGAGGTACACAATGGGTCCAGGGACCGGGCTCCAAAGTTTTGATGGCTGAACTAGGTACAAGGTAATGAACTCACAAGTTACAAAGGTAATGAACTCACAAGTTACAAAGGTAATGAATACTGTAAGAATGACCAGGGGTGGTTAAGTTTTCTCTCAAGTTTGCTCACAAGCAATGTCCAGAATATCTTGCTGTCAATTTTGTCAAGGCTGGGAACCAAAGCAATCATAGAACTAGGGGGAGAGAGCACAACTTTGTAGTACCCACAGTCAGTGGCCAGGCTTCAAACACCTTTTATTGTACAGCAATAAAGGAATGGAACAGACTACCCGCACATGTCAAAGCCAGTCATAGCGTGAACCAGTTCAAGAAGAGTGCCAAAAGGTGTCTGATGAATGTAGCTACAGAAAGGGAGGGGAATGATTTTCTATTTTTTAGCTAACATACGTGTAAATTTTACCTTATTCCTTGTAATGACCCTCGTATTGTAGATAGTCTTAATGACCCTCGTGTAGTAGATAGTCTTTTTGGTATGATAATAAGATGTTATCTTCATTGTAGAACAATAAGAAAATATTATAACCTTTATACTATAATAATAAGGCAAAAGGACCCCAATGGAAATAAGTCACTCTGTCTGACTTTTTTGGGTTATCCTAGGTTCTCTACACATATGCTGCTATATATGATAATTCTATGTAACTGTATTTGTGTATACCTGAATAAACTTACTTACTTACTTACTTACTTAGTCTACACGGGGTGACTACGGTAAACAATATGGTTGTCTCCCAATGAGATTACTGGTATGTATATAATGTTGAGGTACATACAGGTAAGCACCCTAGAAAAATTTTCCATAATACCAGATATATTAAGCAAATTTCCTTAATTTGCTTGTAACAGATAAGTGAACTATAGATATGTAGATATAAATCCATATGTATTCCTGTTAACCCTTTGGGGCCTAGTTCCTAGGCCTTTTGTGTATCCATATGCACTCGCGCTACCGTCCACAGGATGGATATGGGGTGCACAATAAACTAGCCACTTCGGTGGCAAAATCTAAAATCTAATCTTCTGTGTATTGGACTGATGAAGCCAATGTTTGGCGAAACGTTTTCACAATAAAGATACCCAAGTTTTACATGCATGTAGCTGATTTATTTACTTATATGTAATAGTATATATGATATATTTTTATAGGTAGCATACATGAAGAGAATTACTTTCAGGCTCGTTTCCCTCGACTTGAAAAATATTTTCAGGTTCGTTTCCCTAAACTTCAAAAAAGTAAACATACAACAGAGGAAGTGTTGCAAGGGTCGACGGAAATTTCCCGTTAACGGCCGTTTATGGCAAGACAGTTCCCTGTTAGGTCGTCAACAGTCGTTAAGTGAGCAATTAGTGGTAGTAGTAGGTCGTTTGAGGCTGATTTTGGGGTTAAATAGGCCGTGGTAGGACTAATTGGCGGGTCAGCTGACACCTTGAGTTGGCGGGAACCAGTTCGTTGTTAGTTGGAACTTCGTCATTTTCTAGCTTCGTTATTTATAGTAACGACTTTGTTATTAGCTTTAGCTTCGCTATTTTGTTGCTTCGTTATTTAGATTAACGACTTTGTTATTAGCTGTAGCTTCGTTATTAGCCTTAACTTCGTTATTTACATTACGAACTTCGTTATTTAAGTTACGAACATTATTTACATTAACTGTATTTATATTAACGACTTCAGTATTTACTTTAACAAATTTGTTATTTTACATTAACGATATTTTACATTAATAACTTCATTATTTACATTAATAACTTCATTATTTACATTTACAGCCTCATTATTTTCAATAATGACTATTATTTACATTAACGACTATATAAACGACTTTTATTTACACTAACATTTTTATTTACAATAACAACTTTGTTATTTACATTAACAATTTTGTTATTAGCCTTAACCTTGTAATTTGTTAGCAACTTACTGACACTAATGACTTTGACTCGGATCATTATTGTGACTTTTTTTGTTATTGTGTCATGATTGATTTCCCCATTTCTCAGTTATATACATATACAGCTTCTCCTCACTTAGTGATGTACTTGTTTACCGACGTGGTCTTACGAACGGAACTCCGTCGTTAAGTGAGGAGAGGCTGTATAGATTGTGAAGGAAAGGTCCCAAGCTGACCCCTGTGGGACACCACTTGAAATGGTTCCCCCTTATGCTAATGTGCATGTATGCTAGTGGCCTTTTTTGTGCTTATCAATATTTTATTACATGTAAACTACATTTGTATACTACACAAAGAAAATTTGTTTGCAATGATCAGTCACGCCTCAGCAATTTCAAGTATGGAACTGTATTTACAGGCTTTACTGAAGTCCAGAAATAGGGCAGTTACTTGCTTTTGTATTTAGATCATTACCGCATTCTCCCTTAAAAAAATTATTAGTGAACCCTTAGCTCAATCACTAGAGCACACGGCTCGCACAGTTGAGGTCCAGGGTTTGATCCCCAGTGCAGGGGGAAACATTAGGACATATTTCCATGAGACACCTGCTGTCCCTGTTCACTAGCAGTAAAATAGGTACCTGGGTGTTAGTGGACTGGTGTAGGTCGCATCCTGGGGACAATATTGGCCTAATTTCCAAGAAATGTTCTACATAACAAGGGACTTTCTATATAATAGTATGTCACTGATGTCAGCTGTGGTCTGTTTACTTTGTGCTTGTAGAACTATAGATATTATTATAATAATTATGATACTTTTCTTTTGTCTGTATTTTTCTTAATTCTTCATTGCATTTTTGTTCTTTATATTTGACATTCGGGTTTGGGTTCCTATATTTTCTTCCAGAGTTATACTTCAGAGAACATTCAGAATGGGTTTTACACAAGAGCCTCAAAACGTTGTCACCAGCAAGGTTCGCCGCGGAGCGTTAATTGTGATGGAAGGTTGCGATCGCTCAGGCAAAACAACACAAGCTAAGTTGCTTAAGAAAACCTTGGACGATGCTGGCAAACCAACAGATTTTATGTGCTTTCCAGGTAAGAACTTTAGCAAAAGTCAAATAATAATCACTTAGGGCCAGTTAATGAATGAAAATAGTGGTGGAGAATAAAAATGAAAATAATAATAAAGAATAAAGATTTTATTTCTTTGCAAAGGTTACAATGTGTAATTACAATTTTGATTTGTTAAGTACAAAGAAAGCCACTATCATGGACTTTATTCTAGCTTTTAACTTTAGAGGGTTAACCCAAGGTAACCCAAGAAAACCACAATGTGTGGCTTATTTTCATTGAGTTGTTGAGTCCATTTACCAGGATGCCACCCACATCAATCGACTAATGATGTGGGTGGCATTAGATGATTTTGCAATGTGTATAGTAACAAGTTGCTTACAGTTTTAGAGAAACTTTGTATTACATATTCTAACAGAAGCCATTTATTGTGCAAAACATAAATGTACCATATGTATACAGTGGAACCTCTACTTATGAGTTTAATCCTTTCCATGACCTTGCTCGCATCTGGATTTGCTCGTTTGCAGAATCAGTTTTCCTCGTTTAAATTAATTGAAATGGAATGAATGCGTTCCAGTCGAATTCCAGGCACGACAAAATACTTCAATATTTCCCTAATATCAACTCTTCTGCTTGCTTATCAATCACAATTCATATAATATGACATAATAAACAATATTAATAACATACAAACATGATATATACACTAGAATGAATAAAATACATGTCATTACATATGTGGCTAGTGGTGGTGACAGCAGCCATTGTTGTTGTTCGGGTTTATAGGGCCACCACAGCGGTGTAAAGAACCTAGGATAACCCAAAAAAGTCAGTGACTTATAATTGCTACACTCTTAATGCTACACTTTGTCACTGACTCCTCCTGCTTGAGTATTGTACATGTCGTAGAAGTGGTACGCTGGTATTGCCTGGCCAAGTCCTTAACCCTCCACCTAGTTTCTTTATCTACAATTTCCTGCTTTAATTCCCTGGAAATCATCTTTTTTTTCTTCTCGGCACTTTCCTTTGCACTTGCTTTCTTAGGACCAATGATTAGAAACAAAAAATAACTGCACGAAACGTAAGGAAAACACAAGAATTCTCTCCACCGCTAGTGGAGTGGACTGAGCGTTGTTTTGATACATACTGCTATCTTGTGATGGCGTTCGGAAACTCATGGTATAGGGTACAACAAGGTTGTTTTCAAGGTACAAAGTCTGCCACTGCTGCTTCATGTTGTCTACAGCTGCTGCTTCATGTTGCCTGCCACTGCTACCTCATGTCTGCCACTGTTGCTTCATGTCTACCACTGCTGCTTCATGTTGTCTGCCACTGCTACCTCATGATGTCTGCTTCCACTTTTGCTAACATGTTGAAGAGCTTTCCAGTATGTGAAGGTTGAGGGGCAGTGCCAGTTGGACAGGTATTGGACGGTGACATCATTTGTTTACTCTTGAACATCGCCAAAGAATCGAACATTTCTGCTACTTTGAGTTCATTGTGAAACCAATCAAAATCATATCCATTTCTGTAGTCAATCCTCCATTCTATCAAATGAGACCCAAAAAACGAGAATACAACTAGAAAAACCACACGAAAATGTACCTCTAAAGGAGGCTAATGGCCGAGAAGTGAAACGCGTTATTTTTGGTCCAATTTCTTTCATTTTTGGTGTACATTAAAAAGCATCTTTCCATCATACATTGCCCAAGTTTCAATAAGATAGTCCAACAAACAACTGAGATCCAATTCCCTAGATCAAGTGCAAGAGCCCCTCACCAGCATCAAGGAACTTCCCTTGAGGCCTGCTTGCATCTGGAAATTTTGCTCGTGTCTGGAAGCAAAAAATCAACAGAGTGACTGCTCATACCTAGAAAAACTCGCACATGGATGCACTCGTAAGTAGAGGTTCCACTGTATATAAATTTACTGCTGTTAAAAGTATTTACTGTGTCATGCGGAAATAAAATGTTTACATTTATAGTATTGCTATATTATGTTAATTTATATATTATATACAATGGACCCTTGGTTATCGGCCATAATTTGTTCCAGAAGGTTGGCCTAAAACAAAATGGTCAAAAACTGAAATATTTCCCATAAGAATTAATGTAAAAACAATTAATCCATTCCAGACACCCATAAATATTAACAAAAAATACAATTTTTGAAGATTAATTATAGTGTTACATACACAAAACAATGAGAACTACAGTGGACCCCCGCCTTACGTTATTAATCTGTTCCTGATTAATCATCGTAAGCCGAAATTATAGTTAGCTGAATTAATTTTCCCCATAAGAAATAATGGAAATCAAATTAATCTGCTCCTGACACCCCAAATTATGAAAAAATTTTTTTTTACCACATAAAATATTAATTTTAATACACACAAACTGAAGAAGACATGCACAATTACTAATCTACTAAGAATAGAATACATGACACTTACCTTTATTGAAGATCTGGTGATGATTGATGGGATGGGAGGAGGGGAGAGTGTGGAAGTTACTGTTTAGAAGGGGAATCCCCTTCCATTAGGACTTGAGGTAGCAAGTCCTTTTCCGGGGTTACTTCCCTTCTTCTTTTAATGCCACTAGGACCAGCTTGAGAGTCACTGGACCTCTGTCGCACAACAAATCTGTCCATAGAGCTCTGTACCTCCTGTTCCTTTAAGACTTTCCTAAAATGGGCCATAACACTGTCATTGTACAGGTTGCCAACACGGCTTGTAGTAGCTGTGTCAGGGTGATTTTCATCTGTAAAGGTTTTCAGTTGAACCCACTTTGCACACATTTCCTTAATCTCTTTTTTTCGATTCCATACCTAATTCTCGCCCTTTTTACCACAGAGACAGTCACCATGGGGTCCATGGTGACTTATTTTGCAGTTACAAGCACTAAAAACATTGGGATAATGTGAAATGTACAGAATGTAAGCGTAGATGCGACTGCACTGGCTGGCTTATAAACACTGGCGCTGAGGCCACACGTGGGACGCATCCCGGACGAATCACGTAAGGCGAGTTTTTTATCGTGAGGCGAGGCAAAATTTTTGCGTTCAAATGCTTCGTATGGCGGATTTAACGTAACGCGATGCGTTCGTAAGGCGGGAGTCCACTGTACATGAACAATTAAATCACTATTACATACCTTTATTGAAGTCTCTTGTTTGCTTATGGAAGATAGGAAGGAGGGAGTTGGGGTTATTGTTTGGATGGGGAATCCCCCTCCATAAGGACTTCATATAACAAGTCCCTCTCTGGGGTTACTTCCCTTCTTTGTCTTTTAATGCCACTAGGACCAGCTTGAGAGTTACTGGACCCCTGTTGCACTAAATAACTGTCCAGAGTGCTCTGTTTCTGGTGTCTCTTTTAGATTTCCCTGAAGTTGGACAAGGTTTTGTCACTGAACATGTTGCAGATATGGCATGTTTCAGCTTGGTCAGGGTGATACTTTTCAACAAAACTTTGCAATTCATTCCACTTTGCAAACATGTCCTTAACCCTTAAACTGTCCAAACAGATTGACGTTCAAATCTGTAGTGCTCCAAAAGTAGATCTACATTTTTTTACATATTTTCAAATATAACAAAAAAAAAAAATGTAGATAAAAGTTTTTTTACACATTTTCAAATGTAAAAAAAAAATAGATCTACATTTTTTTACATAATTTCAAATGTTAAAAAAAACGTAGATCTACGTTTGGACAGTTTAAGGGTTAATCACTGAAGAAGGCACCTTCTTCCCTCTGGAAGCAATTTCCTCAGTTGCAGTCTGTTGCTGTTCCAGTTGAAGGTCTTGCAGCTCTGGAGTGGTTAGCTCTTCCCTGTAGTCCTCCACCAACTCTTCCACATCCTTGCCACTCACATCCAACCCCATGGACTTCCCCAGTGTCACAGTAGATTGCACAACAGGCATAGGGTCCTCAGGGTCAGCCCCAAACCCTTCAAAATCCCCCTATTATTATTTTTTTTTATTATCACACTGGCCGATTCCCACCAAGGCAGGGTGGCCCAAAAAAGAAAAACTTTCACCATCATTCACTCCATCACTGTCTTGCCAGAAGGGTGCTTTACACTACAGTTTTTAAACTGCAACATTAACACCCCTCCTTCAGAGTGCATGCACTGTACTTCCCATCTCCAGGACTCAAGTCCGGCCTGCCGGTTTCCCTGAACCCCTTCATAAATGTTACTTTGCTCACACTCCAACAGCACGTCAAGTATTAAAAACCATTCGTCTCCATTCACTCCTATCAAACACGCTCACGCACGCCTGCTGGAAGTCCAAGCCCCTCGCACACAAAACCTCCTTTACCCCCTCCCTCCAACCTTTCCTAGGCCGACCCCTACCCCGCCTTCCTTCTACTACAGACTGATACACTCTTGAAGTCATTCTGTTTTGCTCCATTCTCTCTACATGTCCGAACCACCTCAGCAACCCTTCCTCAGCCCTCTGGACAACAGTTTTGGTAATCCCGCACCTCCTCCTAACTTCCAAACTACGAATTCTCTGCATTATATTCACACCACACATTGCCCTCAGACATGACATCTCCACTGCCTCCAGCCTTCTCCTTGCTGCAACATTCTTCACCCATGCTTCACACCCATATAAGAGTGTTGGTAAAACTATACTCTCATACATTCCCCTCTTTGCCTCCAAGGACAAAGTTCTTTGTCTCCACAGACTCCTAAGTGCACCACTCACCCTTTTCCCCTCATCAATTCTATGATTCACCTCATCCTTCATAGACCCATCCGCTGACACGTCCACTCCCAAATATCTGAATACATTCACCTCCTCCATACTCTCTCCCTCCAATCTGATATCCAATCTTTCATCACCTAATCTTTTTGTTATCCTCATAACCTTACTCTTTCCTGTATTCACTTTTAATTTTCTTCTTTTGCACACCCTACCAAATTCATCCACCAATCTCTGCAACTTCTTGTACACAATCTGGCCACAGTTTTCTCCAAGCAGTGTTCAAAGTCCTGGAAGTTACTTCCTGCCAAAC